TGGGTATTATATTAAGGACCGGAGGAGTATTTAAATAAAAAATATTAATTCACAAATAAATAGAATATTCATGTATAAACCAAACATAATTCTACAAACAAAGTTATTAAATCACAAATTGGACTGAATTCTATATCTTTTAAAAATTCAAAATGACATCATTTTAGGTTTAATAAAGGAAATAAAATAAAATAAAATCCAACTAGGTTGACCAGTTCAAAAACTCCTAACTTGACCAATCAATGGGTTCATTATTCCAACTGAGTTGGATTTTAATAAATAATTAAAAGTCCCAGGCTAGAATCCCAAGATTTTGCATTTTCTTAATTCCAGGGTTCACAGCCATACAGCCAACAAAGTTAGGTTTCCCGGACTTAAGCAATTGACAAATATACCCTCTAAGGAAAAAGTTTACGTAGTTTAAATCACCAATCCGTCTTCACATTCCAAGTTCTCTCAAGCATTTGAGGAGCTTGAACAATCATAAACTCCGTTTGGTGCCCTTTTCCAGAACTCCTTCAAGTACTCGGCGTCGTCTTGTGGGCTCACCTCGGGCTCATTATCCAGAGGAATCTTTCCTTCTAAAGCATCAAGCACCTGCAGCTTCATGTCATTAAATTTAACCTTATATGTGCGCGCGCAGCATTTTGTTTTAGAAAACCAATTCGCAAAATGGTCAAGGAATTGCCAAATTCCAAGAAGTCATTAGAAATCCTAGCGCAATATCATCACAACAATGAGCTCGTAAAGATCTCAAATTCAGAGAGATATTCAAAATTTCCAAGCACAGGGAAAGGAAATGAAGATATTTGGACTGATTAGGATGTATTAAGAATGATAAAGTCTTGAATTTAGACGAAGATATCAAAGATAGATGGGATGACTACTTTTACAAGCTTTTCAGCTATGAATGGGAAATGATTGGTAAGATGGAAAAATTAACAATCCAAGAAGGTGCAAAAATTTGTATTTTTATCAGAGGATTCAGGATGGAGAGTTAAAAAAGAAGCTATATTAAGAACATGGATAATGATAAAGCTATTTATCCATATGGTTTTATTTTTGGAGCTTGGAAGTATTTTAGGAGAAAAAGTTTTCCCTCTCTTCTCACCAAGCAATTTAACTAGATTTTAAGGTTCGATATAGTTCTAGTGGGATGCAAGAATAAGTAGCACATGCATATAGAATTGTGCACAACTTACGGCTAAAAAACAGATAAAACTTATGAGCCATCATATGAAACTACCGGAAAAAAGTAGCGCAGATAAGAAAGAAGGCTTGTATTTCAAAAAAAAAAAAAAAAGAACAATTAAAGTTTATGCTAAGACAGCGCAAGAATGATTATTTAACTTTTATGGGAATTGATACAAATATGTTAGTGGAGAAAGAGACTTATATATGAAAATCATTGACTTGAAAATAACTTATAATCAAATCAGATACTAAGAGAATTGTTCTGGAAAGCCCTGGGAAGAAAAAGGGGGTTTGTGTTGATATATTCGAGTGAAGGAAAAAAAAAAAAGGAAACAAGGAGAGACTAGCGTGACACCTCCTAGACGCAAGACAAAATATTTCAATATAAAGATGATTCAACTTTAGAGATTATCTGAGTCCTCACTTGCTTGATGTGATTTTTGACATTATGATCAAGCACGAACAAGAGAAAATCCTGTAGTGTATACTCTTTATAGATAATACTACCTCCGGTCCTAATTATAAGAGCTAGTTGACTAATTTAAGGAGATTAAAGAAACAAGTCAAGTCAGCTATTTGTCATAAATAGGTATTACCTTTCCTAAAATATCCTTGCTAATCAAATTTATTGGTCAGAACTATCATTATTAGAGGGATTACCTTGGGGAAAAAATACATAAATATGAGAGACAAAGTGGATCATGGTCTTATAATTAGGACCAAAATAAAAGTCAAACAAGGTCTTATATTAAGAACCGGAGGTAGTATAGTTTTGACTGACAAGTCAAAAGAGGAGGTCAAATCTAAACTTGAGCTATGGAGTCAGACTTTGAAATCAAATGGTTTTTGTTCAAGTAGAGGCAAGTTAGAAATAATTTAGAAGTTGAGATAGGTATACGTTGCAGAATAACAATGAAATTGATGGAAGCATTGTGCATAAGATCCTAGTTGGATGGTTGAAAAGGAGAAACATATGGAGGTTGTTGTCTTTAGTTTTATCAGCAATTAGGGTGATTGTAATCAGTTACCCCTCAGTTTTTATCATGAAATAGCGTGGTTATAATGAGTTATCGTACCAGACCATATATAGCTCTTGCGTACTTAGTATATGGGCAAGAAAAGTACTACCTCCAGTTCTTAATATAAGAGGTAGGAGACTAATTTTAGTAGATTAAGAAAGTTTGTTAAGTTAGTTACTTATAATGAATAGGTGGTGCTTTTCCTAATACTTTTACTAATCATATGTATTAGTTAGAACTACTATTTGATAAAATCTTTAACATATGCAATTACTATTTCCGGTTATAATTAGGACCAGAGGTAGTACTACAAAACTACTTTAAAAAAAAAAGATAAATATGAGAGACAAAATGGATTAACATATTTTATTTAGAACTATATTGAAAGTCAAATTTGTTCTTATGTTAAGGATTGAAAGTAGTATTATCACTACAAAAAAATTGACTTTCAGCGGCGACAAAAGTCGCCGCTGAAAGTACAAAAGTCGCCGCCGAAAGTTTTTTGCGGCGACAAGTCGCCGCTGAAAAGTCGTTGCCGTAGCAGCCGTGGCTGAAAACTTTTAGTGGCGACTAAAAAGGTCGCCGCTAAAAGATATTTTCAGCGGCGACTTTTAGAAGATTCAGCGGTGACAAATGTCGTCGCAGAAAACACTTTCGGCGGCGACAAATGTCGCCGCCGAAAGTGTTTTCTGCGGCGACATTTGTCGCCGCTGAAAGTAATGCCTAAGAAGAATTGCCTTTACCAATGCCACGTCATCACTGCCGGTGCCACATCATCGTCTCCGGCCGCCACGTCAGCACCGTCGACCTCCACGTCATCGTCGTCGGCGGCCACGTCATCACTGCTGACTGCCACATCATCACTAGCCACCTCCACGTCATTGCCACATCACTCCTCATCGCCACGTCATCGTCTAAATATTTCCACCTTAAATGTGTCTTCTTCCAGGATCGAACTCGTGACCGCCTCCTTTCGTGTCCAACCTTCTTGCCGCTGAGCCAAATTGAATTTGTTTATTAATATTGTAAAATAAATATATATTATTATATTATACTTTCAGCGGCGACAAAAAAGTCGCCGCTAAAGGTCCACTTTCGGCGGCGACACTTTTGTCGCCGCTGAAAGTCTTGGTTTTAATGGCGAACTTTCAGTGGCGACTAAAAAAGTCACCGCTAAAGGTCCACTTTCGACGGCGACAAAAAAGGTCGCCGCTGAAAGTCTTGGTTTCAATAGCGAACTTTCGGCGGTAACTAAAAAAGTCGCCGCTGAAAGTCCACTTTCGGCGGCGACAAAAAAAGTCGCCGCTAAAGGTCCACTTTCAGCGGCGACACTTTTGTCGCCGCTGAAAGTCTTGGTTTTAATGGTGAACTTTCAGCGGCGACAAAAAAAGTCGCCGCTGAAAGTCCACTTTCGGCGGCGACAAAAAAAAGTCGCCGCTGAAGGTCCACTTTCAGCGGCGACATTTTCGTCACCACTGAAGGTCTTAGTTTCAGCGGCGACTTTTTTTGTCGCCGCTGAAAGTCGTCGCCTAAAGTCTGTTTTTTTGTAGTGTATTCAGTAAATGTATTTATCCCCCTTTTCTCTCTAGGATTCAAATCCTGGTTGTAGAGTTCCTCTCCTTGTCTAACACTTTCGCTTCTCTTTATTCCCCTTTCCTCTATTTCTACTACTATTGCCTAGATTCTCTCCTACTTCTAGGATTAGATTCTGATTCTAGAGGATTCCCATGTCCCTTCTATAGCCCTATTCTTTCTTCTACTTATTCTATCCTTTTCCACCTAGTTTCTAACATAGATGTACGCAAACAAAGCTACTAGAGGTGTTAGTGAGGAGAGTTGGGCAGAAAAGTCTTAGCCCTATAGAAGAAGCCAAGGTAATTCAAGAAAGACCGTTAGAAAATTACCAAACAAGATATCCGAGTTAATAATACTTAAGAGTTAACTAGTGATACAGTGTGATGGCATTGTGCACCTGCGACCCATATGGTGGATATCATTCAATAGACTAAGATTTGTTGATGTTGTGTTTAACTATTATTAAATTAAAATGCACTTAAAACTTTTCATCCATGTCGAAATTCCCAACCGTTTTTTCAGTTTTAATACAGCATGACCAATTTCGACAAACAATTTTTTCTTTTGCAGAAATAGGTAAATCTACTGTTATAGAGGCTTGGGGCTTCACACCTATTAGAATTACGAGTGGCCTAAATAATTTGACTTCTTTTCAGGGGGGGAAAAAAGCAAAGAACTCGTTTGGGGAAAAAAAAAAACATACAAAAACACACACACACATACACATTTTAACAAATGGTTAGCTAACCTCTCTCATTGTAGGACGAAGATTGGCTGAATCGCGCACGCAATTTGCAGCACAAGAAACCATTCGGAACATCTCTTCGGAGTTGTAATTATCCTGCAACCTTCGATCAGCAAGAGCCTCAAAGTTCAGATCTTCCGATTTTAAAGCTGCGAAGAGTTTAGGCCTTGCCTGTAATTTGTAACATGTATCAGTGCAGAAATTTCTAGTATTCATTATTAATTATCTAAGATTTTGTTCAGCATTATTTCTGTTAAAATTTGAAATAGCTGATAGACGTAAGGTTTGCCCATTTCGGTGAATGCATGCTTGATATATCTTGAACTAGCTGTCTTTCGTGACTAATATGAAAACCATTAGATCAACAGTCGATTTTTTTCCTTTTCGACCAAAAATCCCCGTTGAAGGAAAAATAGAAATGAAAAAATCCAGAACAATACTGATTTTCTTGCCACCAAAAACACAGACTATATACTACAGAAAACATTGATGAATACTGTACACACCCACTCAACCATGCCCTCAGAGAAAGACCCACAAGCTTTTTGTCCTGTAATCAACTCCAAAAGCACAACACCAAAGGCGAAGACATCCGACTTCTCACCCATTTTCCCGCCACGGAAACACTCTGGAGCTAAATATCTGTATTTCAACGTTGGCAGAACTTCTTAGAGATTGAGATAAGCAGTTAACGGAAACCCCCCACCCCCCCAAAAGGTTCAAAAGAGAAGATTATAAAAGATCATACGACTAAGACTTACCCAAAGGTTCCCATGCAGTTTCCCACAGAGACGTGGGTAGCAGTGTCTGGCAAAAGTTTTGCAAGTCCAAAATCTGCTATCTGATTAACAGATACAAGCACACATAATTAGTTTGTTATGGATAACATATGTTGATATTCAAAGTGCCATGTGGGAAAGCAAGATGAGCGAAGCCCAGCAACTTTGCAATTCGTTATATGGTAATTGAATGGATTCTTTGGCGCAGAAAAACAATTTGGAATTCCTCGCAATGCTATTTTAATTTACCAAATTTGGAAACAGGAATTTGAGTTCAAACCTTTTTCAATAACATTATTTTGATGCAAAGCCATCCATTAGATATTAGGATATTCTATCATTGATATACAGAAAAATTACAATGAGGTCCTAAAAATAAAATTACCAAAGTCCCTATAACAAGTTAGAAGTTATCACTTTCTACTATGAAACTTATCATTAAAAGCTGTTTTGTTGTTATTAAGACTTTTTAGTAATTATGTTCCTTTCTTGGAACTTTGTTGCAATTCTCCCTTGATATGAATACTCCCTCCAATCATATGAGCTTCAAATAACTAATTTGCATATAACAAAATTAGTTAAAAGCAATAAATAGGCAACAAATATACTTTTGTTTTCAAATATTGCTTTATAATTAATGAGAAAAAGGATGAAAAAGAATATATAGAAAAATCTAATGAGAGATTATGACAAAGGAAAGAGAATAAATAATTAAGGATAAAGTTGAAAAAAACATATTAAATGTCGAGACAAATCTAAATTACTCCTCCGGTCCTAATTATAAGACCCAATTGACTTATTTGAGGAGATTAAGGAAGTAAGTTAAGTTGGTTATTTATAATAAATAAGTGTTGTTATTCCTAAAATATCCTTGCTAATTAAGTATATTGGCTAAAACTATCATTATTAAAAGGATTATCTTGGAAAAAAATGCATAAATATAAGAGAGAAAATAGATTGGGTCTTATAATTATGACCAAATAAAAAGTTAAATTGGGTCTTATAATAAAGACCGGAGGAGTACAATTTGTAAAATGAATCACACCCTTTCCCAAATTTGAAACTTACAAATAGTACTCCTCTGGTCTTATTTATAGGGTAAAAAGAGAAGGTATTTTTTAGTCCTATTTATATGGCACTGAGAGAAATTTTGTCTGGATGTACAATTTTATTTCTAATTTATTATTGTGTTGACTTTGTTTATATGGGGTATAATGTATATTAAATAGGGATAAAGTTGAGAAATCATTAAATTTTAAATGACAGTTAATGAAGTTTAAGGTTTTCTTTGGTATGTGTGAAACATGTTGGAACTGTCTTATAAATAGGATTAGATGAGTACTAGTTGGAGTAGTATAGAATCGGATATTATTTCTAGGGATATTACCATGTCATTAAGAGCCATTAATACTGAGGCTCATTCCTCCTGTATATATGCCCATTGTCCAATCATGAATAGATGTAAAAAATTCATATTATTTCCTTCTGTTTCCATATATGATATTAGAGCAATTGCAATTCTATACTTCTATTTCATACAATATCCAGAGGTGTTTGCAAGGAAAGTGAAGTTTGTTTTGATTGACGTCGAACGACACCTGAGGCCCAATCCCATTAGAGCTCACTAATGTGTTCTTCATTAAAGTTATTATTATTATTATTATTAGAATATTCAGGAAAATAAAATCAGATCAAATATAATCTGATTTTATCTAGTTTTTGATTGATTGTACCTAGATTTGATTTTTCTATTAATGCCCTTCCCATCCGTATGAACTAAAAGCCTTTCATTAAAGTTAAGAATCAATTACTCAGCTGATCATAAATTTGAACCTCAGTGAACTATAGGACAAGCAACAGAGATCACACCTAATTTGGCAATGGTTCTGGTAGTGAGAAGAACATAAATAACGGATTTGAGGGGAAAAATCATGTTGTCCAAAGAAGTATATAAGGACAATCAAATCCTATCACTATACCAAAGAATCAGCACAAAGTTGAGGAGACACATACCTCACTCTAATCATCTACCCTACCTCAGATCCATTACATGATGACCTATGTTGGCCTACCGCATTGAGGAAAGATGAAAGATCTTGCAATACTAAGCATTTTATTGTTAATTTTGTGTCTTATGAAAGATTATTCCCTGCTTTGAGAGCTTTTATGCCTAGAGTTTCAAATGATGATATTCCTAAAATTGTGCATGAATCCTCAGAAATTTCGTAACACAGAGAGGCCATTAATGAAGAAATGGTAGCACTGGCTAAGAATGGTGCTCGTGAGTTAATTAAGCTCCCTAAAAGAAAGTCAACAGTGGGATGTACATTGCTATTGACAAAGAAATACAATTCAGATGGTTCAGTCAGTAAGTATAAAGCAAGATTGGTTGCTAAGGGCTTTACCCAACAATGTGGAATCAACTATGAAGAAACCTTTGCTCTAGTAGCAAAGTTTAATACAATTAAGTTACTATTCTCATTAGCGGCCAATCTTAATTGGCCTTTGCATCAACTTGATTTGAAGAACGCATTTTTCCATAGTGATTAAGAAGAGATCTATATGGATGATTCCCGAAAGCCAGTGATGGCGAAAATAAGAATAGAGTTGGCAAATTGCCAAAAAAAAAAAAAACCAATTGTATGGTCTCAAATTATCTCCACGCACTTGGTCAGAAAAGTTTATTAGTCAAAAAGAAGGGTTATAATGTGTGCTGATAATATCATTATTACACAAGATGACGGTGACCAGTTAGAGAACTTGAAAAACTTATTAGCTACAAAATTTGGAATCAAGGATCTTTGATCCTTACAATACTTCTTGGGGATGGAAGCTGCTAGATCTGAACAGGGTATAGTTGTACCAAAGAAGAAGTATACACTTGATCTGTCGAAAGAAACAAGTGTGTTAGGTTGTTGTCTAGTAGTGATGCTCATGGAAATGAATCTTAAACTGGGTGTAAGAAAGACTGCGCACTTGTTAATAATAAGAGATATCAATGATTAGTGGGTAAGCTAATTTACTTAGCTAAGACCGGACATTTCCAATGCAGTGCGAGTAGTGAGTCAATTCTCTAGTAATCCCAACAATGATCATATGAATGCAGTGTATAGGATTCTGCAATATTTAAAAGCTACGCCACGAAGAGGCCTATTCTTTGGGAAAAGAAGTTAGAGAGGAATAGAAATCTATTCAGCTATTGATTGGGCAGGTTCTGTTGAAGATAGACAATCCACCTTTGGTTATTGCTCATTTGTATGGAGTAATTCAGTGATTTGGAGGAGCAAAAAACAATATGATATTTCACGAAGTAGCACTGAAGCAGAATTAGAGCATTGGGTCAAGGAATATGTGAAGGCATATGGCTAGATAAACTCTTCAGGGAGCTAAAAATCACTAGAGAGGGTCCAGTGAAAGTCTTTACCACAATACTGCTAGTATTAAGATTTTGAAAAATCTTGTACATCATATGAGGATACAGCATGTTAAGATAGATCGCCATTTATTAATGAAAATACAGAGGACAAGAAAGTTGAGGTCACGTATACAACATCAAATAAACAAGTTGCTAATGTACTGATCAAAACCTTATCTATAACAAAGTTTTATAGCCTCAAGCAAGTTGGGAATGATGAATATCTGTTCTCCAGCTTAAGGGGAGAGTTGAATGACGCCATAAGCCCATGCCCATTAGGGCTCATCAATCTATTGTTAATTAAAGTTTATTATTATTGTTGTTGTTGTTGTTGTTCTTAGAATATTTAGGATAATAAAATAAAATCAAATATAATCTGATTGTATCTAGTTTTCGATTGATTGTATCTAGATGTGATATTTCTGCTCTTTCCCTACCGGTATGTATGAACTTAAAGCTTCCAATAGAATTTGAAGCCAAGAACCAGAGAATTAATTGCTCAACCGATTTCTTCAATTGAAAATCTAAAGGCATCAGAACTTGCATTTATGGATTTACATATTTAATTAGTAATTGTAAAGTTACAAGAGAGACCTACCTTTGTCTGAAAATCATCAGTTAGAAGAATGTTAGCTGATTTGATGTCACAGTGTATGATTTTGGGTTCACCTAAAATGAAACATCAATACTGGAGTGAAAAAGAAAGATTACAAAAGTAATAAAATCAACTAATTAAGATTTATATAATGTGGAAATTAGTTATATCAGGTAAACTCACAGCCTTCATGAAGATATGTCAATCCTTTTGCAGAGCCAATAGCAATCTTCATTCTTGTTTCCCAGTCTATAGTTTTTGTGCCTGTTCCTGAGTGATATGTATCCATATTATTTTTATGACTTATACGTAAGATCAGGGAAGAAGATATCAAATCCTCTTGAACGGATAAACTTAAAAAAGATTTATCCTACGCAACTACCGTATCTACTCTCTTTTTTAATAGACACTAATGCATTAATTCACGTGGAAGCAAATCATATCAGAAACCAATAAATGTAGTAACTTAAAAGAACAAATTTAAGAGATTAAACAGCTGAAGATTAATACCTCACTGGCCAAAAAAGTGTTTTTCACAACTACTTTGTGAGAATGTATGCATAATAGAATGTCTCGTTTTTAAAAATGGGTCCAAGTCTTACTATGCAGCTGGTAGGCTAGGGAATTATTTGGGATGAACTCGTAAACAAGCATCATGGCCGCCATAGGGCCTTCATCTTGACCGCAATAGTATCCAACCAAGGAAACAATATGCTTGTGATGGGCTTGGCTAATGACATTCACTTCAGTGAGAAACTGCTGTATTCCTTGTCTGGCACAAGCTTCTAGCTTCTTAATCGCAACAATTTTATTATTAGAAGGGAGCACTCCTTTATAGACGGTGCCAAACCCACCTTTGCCAAGATAATTTGAATCATCAAATCCTTTCGTTGCTGAGTGTAATTCATCATAGGTAAATATTCTTGGTATGTGTTTGAGTTCCAAGACTTTGGAAGAAGATGGTAAAGCTGCGATGGGTTAAAGAGAAGCGTAACAAATCAAGATCAAGTTACACTGAATCATATGGCATGAGTATAAAGTTCTCCCAATAATAAATTTTTTGAAAGGATTGCATTTGTATTGCATCATCATCGGTAGCAAAAGATAATTTTGAATTTAACCATACCAACTTGTGCTTTAGAAGGCACAACGGAGGCCAATGGCTAAGCTTGGCTACTTGAGATAACTTTGAACTCAACCTCACCTAGTTGTTATTGAGATGGCTCATTAGGGGCTAATGACTAGGCTAGGCTTTGTGAGCGCGACTTTTTGACAGGCAAATGATATCCATCATTAGCAACTTCATTGGATTTTGCAACACGCAGTGACAACCATATAGGGAGGCTAACAGATTTACCATGCTTCATTAAAAGTTACTTTTCAGGAATTTCATTTTCGATAGCAATAAACAATGAAGTCTTTTGCATAAGGGATACAAAATTAATAAATCGAGATCAAGTTGGGTGAAAAGTTATCCTCGGTATTGCATCTGAATTGCATCATGATCAATAGAAAACTTTGAATTTAATGTTACCTTGTGGTGCTTGAGGAGCCACGGTGCAGGTTGACCGGGTGTTTGGGCTTCTCGAGCATTTATTTTCACCTAACAATTGATTTCTATCAATGACATTTTGGATGGATTTTGCAAGGTACAGTAACAGAAATATTCAAAGAAGCCAGGAGATTTATCATACTTTATTAAAAGTTGCTTTTTCACTGAAAAAAATAAGACACTTATCAAAAATTTTATTTTTGATGGCAATAAACCATGATATCTTTTACATATAGCAAACAAATTCCAACAAATCTAGACTGAATCAGTCCAAAAGTTATTCTGAATTGTAACATGATCAATAGATAATTTTGAATTTAACTTGACCTTGTTATGCTAGCGAATGCACAATGTGGGCTAATGGCTTGCCACGGCCTCTCACAAGGCACAGCGATAGCCCTATAGAGAGAGGCTATCAAATTTATCACAGCTCATTAAAAGTTACTTTTCAAGAATTTTATTTTCAAAACAAATAAACAACAAATTCCTTTGCACATAGCAAACAAATACGGGTGAATGGCAATTAGGTCCCAGGGAAGGGATTCAATTACTCCAAGTCCTTAATGACAAGTGAAAAGTATAAACTAGTTATCATTTCCTATACTGGAACTTGTCATTGCATGCTCCTCAGTTGTTAACAAACTTTAGGATAATTAAATCCCTTCCTTGAGACTTAAATACAATTTCCCCACAAATATTGATAAGTCTAAATCAAGTTTGGGGAAAAGTTGTTCTCAGTAATGCACTAGAATTGCGTCATGATCAACAGATGATTTTGAATTCAGCCTTACCTAGTGGTGCTTGAGGAGGCACGGTGTAGGCTGATGGCTTGCCTTGACCTCTTGAGTGTTCATTTTTGCCAGACAATTGATTTCCATCAATGATATTTTGGATTGATGCTACAAGGCAATGTAACAACCATATTGAAAGAAGCTAAGAGATTTATCGTACATCATTAAGAGTTACTCTTCAAAAATTTCACATTAGGTGGCAATAAACCATGAAATCTTTTGGACCAACAAATCTAGATTCAGTCAGTCCAAAGTTTATCATTGGGAATTCATTTGAATGAGTCAAAACCAAAAATTTTTTGAATTTAACCTGACCTACTTGCACTTCAGAAGGCAAAATGCAAGCCAATGTCTTAACACAGCTTCTCAGAAAGCACAATGACAACCATCCATAGAGGAGCTCATGGATTTATCACACCTTATTAAAAGTTACTTTTCAAGAATTTCATTTTGGATAGCAATAAACAGTGAATTCTTTTGTACATAGAAAGCAAATACTGATAAATCAAGATTGAGAAAAGTAAAACAGTGTCCTCTCTATTGCATATGAATTGTGCCATGATCAATAAACAATTTTGAATTCAATCTTACCTAGTGGTGCCTGAGGAGGCACGATGCGACCTAATGGCTTGTTTCGACATTTTGAGTGTTCATTTTTGCCGGGCAATTGATTTTCATCATTGGCATCTTGGATTGATTCTGCAAGGCAATGCAACAATCATATTGAAAGAAGCTAAGAGATTTATCGTTTATCATTTAAAGTTACTCTTCAGAAATTTCACTTTGGGTGGCAATAAACCACGAGTTCTTTTGTACTAACAAATCTAGATTTGGTCAGTCCAAAGGTTATCATCGGGAATGCATTTGAATGTGCCACAATCAATAGAATTTTGAATTTAACTTGACCTACTTGCGCTTTAAAAGGCAAAATGCAAGTCAATGTCTTAACACAGCTTCTTAGAAGGCACAATGACAACCATCCATAGAGGGGCTCACAGATTTATCACACCTCATTAAAAGTTACTTTTCAAGAATTTCATTTTGGATAGCAAACAGAGAATTCTTTTGCACATAGCAAGCAAATACTGATAAATCTAGATCGAGGAAAGTGAAACGGTGTCCTCCCTATTGCATATGAATTGTGCCATGATCAATAAATAATTTTGAATTCAATCTTACCTAGTGGTGCCTGAGGAGGCACGATGCGGGTTGATGGCTTGTCTCGGTGTCTTGAGTGTTTATTTTTGCCAGGCAATTGATTTTCATCATTGGCATCTTGGATTGATTCTACAAGGCAATGCAACAATCATATTGAAAGAAGCTAAGAGATTTATTGTGTCATTAAAAGTTACTTTTCAGAAATTTCACTTTGGATGGCAATAAACCACGAATTCTTTTGTACTAACAAATCTAGATTTGGTCAGTCCAAGGGTTATCATTGGGAATGCATTTGAATGTGCCACAATCAACAGAATTTTGAATTTAACCTTATCTACTTGTGCTTCAGAAGGCAAAATGCAAGCCAATGTCTTACCACAGCTTCTCAAAAAGCACAATGACAACCATCCATAGAGGGGCTCACGGATTTATCACACATCATTAAAAGTTACTTTTCAAGAATTTCATTTTGGATAGCAATAAACAGTGAATTCTTTTGCACATAGCAAGCAAATACTGATAAATCTAGATCGAGGAAAGTGAAACGGTGTCCTCCCTATTGCATATGAATTGTGCCATGATCAATAAATAATTTTGAATTCAATCTTACCTAGTGGTGCCTGAGGAGGCACGGTGCGGGTTGATGGCTTGTCTCGGTGTCTTGAGTGTTTATTTTTGCCAGGCAATTGATTTTCATCATTGGCATCTTGGATTGATTCTACAAGGCAATGCAACAATCATATTGAAAGAAGCTAAGAGATTTACCATCCATCATTTAAAGTTACTTTTCGGAAATTTCACTTTGGATGGCAATAAACCACGAATTCTTTTGTACTAACAAATCTAGATTTGGTCAGTCCAAGGGTTATCATTGGGAATGCAGTTGAATGTGCCACAATCAACAGAATTTTGAATTTAACCTTATCTACTTGTGCTTCAGAAGGCAAAATGCAAGCCAATGTCTTACCACAGCTTCTCAAAAAGCACAATGACAACCATCCATAGAGGGGCTCACGGATTTATCACACATCATTAAAAGTTACTTTTCAAGAATTTCATTTTGGATAGCAATAAACAGTGAATTCTTTTGCAAATAGCAAGCAAATATAGATAAATCTAGATCAAGGAAAGTGAAACGGTATCCTCTCTATTGCATATGAATTGTGCCATGATCAATAAATAATTTTGAATTCAATCTTACCTAGTGGTGCCTGAGGAGGCACGATGCGACCTGATGGCTTGTCTCGGCATCTTGATTGTTCATTTTTGCAAAGCAATTGATTTCCACTATTGGCATCTTGGATTGATTCTGCAAGGTAATGTGACAATCATATTGAAAGAAGCTAAGAGATTTATTGTATGTCATTAAAAATTACTTTTCAAAAATTTCACTTTGGGTGGCAATAAACCATAAATTCCTTTGGACTAATAAATCTAGACTCAGTCAATTCAAAGGTTATCATTGGGAATGCATTTGAATGTGCTACAAGCAACAAAATTTTGAATTTAACTTGACCTACTTGTGCTAGAGAAGGCACAATGCAAGCTAACGTATTAACACAGCTTCTCAGAAAGAACAATGACAACCATCTATAGAGGCGCTCATGGATTTATCACACCTTATTGAATGTTACTTTTCAAGAATTTCATTTTGGATAGCAATAAACAGTGAATTCTTTTGCAAATAGCAAGCAAATACAGATAAATCTAGATCGAGGAAAGTGAAACGGTATCCTCTCTATTGCATATGAATTGTGCCATGATCAATAAATAATTTTGAATTCAATCTTACCTAGTGGTGCCTGAGGAGGCACGATGCGACCTGATGGCTTGTATGGAAATCCTGGGTGTTCATTTTCGCTAGGCAATTGATTTCCACCATTGGCATTTTGGATTAATTCTAGAAGGCAAGTAACAACCATGTTGAAAGAAGCTAAGAGATTTATCGTGTATTATTAAAAGTTACTTTTCAGAAATTTCATTTTGGGTGGCAGTAAACCATGAATTCTTTTGGACCAACAAATCTAGATTTAGACAGTACAAAAGTTATCATTGGGAATGGATTTGAATGCATCACAATCAACAAAATTTTGAATTGAAACTGACCTACTTGCGCTTGAGAAGGCACAATGCAAGCTAACATCTTAATACAGCTTCTCAGAAGGCACAATGACAACCATCCATAGAGGGGCTTATAGATTTATCACGTCTCATTAAAAGTTACCTTTCAAGAATATCATTTTGGATAGCAATAAACAGTGATATCTTTTGGACATAGCAAGCAAATACTGATAAATCCAAATCAAGGCAGGTGAAATGGTGTCCTTTGTATTGCATTTGAATTTTGTCATGATCAATAAATAATTTTGATTTCAATCTTACCTAGTGGTGCCTGAGGAGGCACAATGGGGGCTGATGGCTCATCTCGGCCTCTTGGGCGTTCATTTTCGCCAAGCAATTGATTTCCATCATTGGCATTTTCGATCGATTCTACAAGGCAATACAACAACCATATTGAAAGAAGCTAAAAGATTTATCATCTATCATTAAAAGTTACTTTTCAGAAATTTCACTTTGGGTGGCAATAAACCATGAATTCTCTTGGATCAACAAATCTAGATTTAGTCAGTCCAAAGGTTATTGTTGGAAATACACTTGAATATGCCACAATCAACAAAATTTTGAATTGAACCTGACCTACTGGTGCTTGAGAATGCACAATGCAAGCTAATGTCTTCACACAGCTTCTCAAAAGGCTCAATGACAACCATCCATAGAGGGGCTAACCAATTTATCACATGCTTCATTGAAAGTTAATTTTCATGTTGTTCATTTTTTACCCGCTTGGTTTTTTATTTCTTGGAAGGTAAAAATCATATTCTTAATGAGTATAGTTTTTTATTTCAAAACGTAAATGCTTTTGTTTTTCTAATTTTTTCAGGAATTTTTTTTGGGTGTTTGGAATTAGTGTTAAAAGAAGCAGCAAATTTGCCTTGACTATTAAAAATTAACGTTGACAGTTAACAACTTTTAACGGCCATGGGTGGCACAGCTTTTTCTTTTTTTCTTTTTTTCAAAACACTGCTAGGGTAATATTGATCTAAAAAAACTTCCAAATAATCCACAATTCCTACACACACAAAATTTCGAGGCAAACCTGGTCATTAACCCAGTTTTTCTTTTTGTTTTTTTTTAATTAAGATTTAGCAATTTCTTTACGTAGATGTATGAAATCTTTAAGAAAGGTCCATCAGTGTTGTTATAGATTAAATAGATCAATTGCGGTGTAGTGTAAACAACAAAAACATGTTTTGCAATGCACAGATATCCAGTTGGAGATAATCATGTACGACGCACTGTTAAACATTGGGTATCTCTGTTCAAAACAGGGTCAGTCATACATATAGATCGGAACAAGGATTTTGCTCAGCCCCTTCCACCGATTTCAATGAGCTAGTGGGCCGAGCCGAACAGACACTACCTGTATGTCCATCAGCCATCGCTCGGACGAACCAGGGACAGAGGAAGGTTATAACCCCCTGCCTTCAATTAAGGGGGAAAAAATACTTACGCATGCAGATATATTATTCCGCACAATCAGTCGAACCCAACCCTATGCAATAATCATGAATTATATGGCATTGTAATTGAAGGAGATACTCATAGCGGTGCTGGCCTGGTTCTTAGAATCAAAGAAGTTATCGAAGAAGGAGACGAACGGGCATGGATAATTTTTATGCAACATACTAATCTCAAAATATAAAATGAGATTAAATTAAATGCGGAACTCCAAAATCTCTCCGAAATGCGCTCCCACATTACAACTCCGCAAGCGCCGGGCCCCAGTTTCATACCCCCCATTTCCACACTATCAGTCCACCCTTTACCTTCCACGCGGTACTTGCCTTTATCAAGGTAGAACTTGCAACCCCCCTCTTCTGAAATAATGATGTACTCCCTGTGTCTTTAATAATATAAAATGTATTTAATTAATTTGATTAGATTAAAAAAGTTAGATAAGTTAGTTAATTAAAAAATATAATTTTTTTAAAAAAAATTATAATTATTTTCCTTAATATTCTCTTCCTTCTCTATTTAATTATGGTTGAGAAAAATTTATAAGAATAATTTAAGAAAAATTAATAAATATAAAAAATAAGTATTATATTTAAGATTAAAATCAACTTAATAATTAGGTCATATATTAAGAATAAAAAGAATATTATATAGAGCATTACACTTGAAGGAGATACTGAGAGTGGTGCTGGCCTTTAAGAGTCTGTTTGGTTTGAGGGGACGGGAGAGGAGGGAGGGTTTTATCCTTATCTTGTTTGGTTTGATTAAAAAGAAGGAAGGAGAAGATACTTAATGATTCCTTGTTTGGTTCAAGGAAGGGAGGGGAAGGATAGTAATAATCAATTTACTATTTTATCATTACATATTAGTTTATATTTTTTATTGATATATTATATAAATTAATTTACATCTTAATTTTGAAATATATAATTTAATAAAAATTCAGTCTTACATGTTAATATGTGCATTAAAAAATTGATACAGTAATTTTGTATTCTAATTAATATAATAATATATTTAAAACAATCAAATTAACAAATTTTATATGCTCTAAGAAAAATAAAATTTTATTCTCTTTAGGCTATCCTTTTTTCAGCTTTAAAATATATTTAATAAATAATATATTTATAAAAAATTAATTTTATAATATTATAATTTTTTATTTTTAAATAATTTTTTATAATATATATTTTAATTATAATAATTTATTTTTTTTTTTTTACTTAAGATAATATATTTTTTATTTGAAATAAATATTATAATAATATATTTTATGAGTAGAAGTGAAATATTAAAAAATCATAAAATCATAATGTCCAAATATTTAACTCCCCTCCAAAAACTCCCAATTTAAAGAGAAGCTAAAATGAGAGGAGGGAAGGAAGGGGATATTTTGACTACTCTCCCCTTTAAAAATTTTAACCAAATGAGGAGAGGGGCTCCCCTCCTCTTCTCTCCCCTCCCCTCCGGTCAAAAACACCTTAAAATGATCCAAGAAGGAAAGGAGAGGGTAAGGGTCATTTTTATGTAAAATACTGATTGTAAAAGTAAAAAATTAAGTAACACAAAGAAGAGGCAAGAGTAGAGATATTTTCTGTTGTCCAAAAAAGAGTAGAGATATTTTCTTGTCTTTCTCTCTCTTGTGAAATAGATCCTGCAACAAAAATCTCATGCTAAATCCTTAAGAAAGAAAAGCAGAAAAGGATTTACCTCTGAGTGATTGTTGTTCTGGAGAGGGGTAAAACCCAGATGATCTGGTCCTTCTCTTCCTACACCAAAAGAAAATCCCACAAAGCCCCACCAGGATCACCAAAAGAAACCCACTTGCTACAATTACTCCGTACTTAGAAGAACTGGACGGAGTCGGCAGCGGCTCCGTCTGGTAAGGAGGCACTTCTTGACTGTGAAGGAGAATGAGGTGATCCGAAGCGGCGAGTGCGAGAATGAGAGTAAGGAGCCCCAGTTCCCAAGAATACATGTTGGAATGGAGACTATCCAGGCACAAGCAATACTCTGAAGCAGGAGGCCGAGAGCGAAGAATTGCTGAACTGGTGCTCTAGCAACCAACAAAGGAGACATCGATCTCCCTACAACCATTTTAAAAGTTGTTACTTTTGGCCTCGCTCCGTTCAACCTCCACTTTTCCGCAGACAGGCTCCACTTAGTCATCACAATCACAAATTTTCTTTGCATGCTCCTTTGGAATGACTTGCCTGGCTATTCATTTCCATATTTTAAAAGTTAAAGTATAAATTTCATCCTTTAATTTTATATAAAATTTTACTTTAATCTCTTAATTCAAAAAATATATTTCTAGTTTTTTAATATTAAAATTGTTAATTTTAAATGACTTTTTTTTTTGTAACAATATGATTATTTTGAATGGTCATGTTTTATCAACGTCGAAAAACTCAACACCATCATTTGATATTCAAAATTATAACATTATAGGACTAAAAATTTATTTTTTTTAAATTAAAGAATCAAATAAAAAATCGTATAAAGATAAATGACTAAAAGTGCATTTTAGCATATTTTAAAATAAAACTCTTTGCGCATTTATTTCATATAAGGTAAATTATAATTAAAATGTTATTTATAAACTATTATAAAAATTAGAGCTGTGCAAAAAACCTGGTAGTCTAAAAAACCTAGTCTAGTTTGATAAAAGCCCGGTCTAGTCCAACCCAAAAAATGGAATCCAAATAAAAATTCAGATCAAACTAGACTGGACTAGTCATCAGGTCAGACTGGGTTTCAAGCTGACTCTGCAGATCCAATAGTCTGGTCTAGCCCCTGATATAATTATATTAAAAAAATATTTTTATTTTATTCAAATCTAATGTGTTTTTCCGTTTTCCCATGCGTCCTCTTCTTTCCTTTGTCATCTACTTTTTCTCTTTTCCCGCCCGTCCCTCTTCTATCCCCTGTCATTTTCATTTCCCCCACTTTTTTTTTATTCCCGTGCCTCCCTCTTCTTATTAAAAACTAATTTAAAAAATAGATAAATATAAAAAATTTAAAAAAACAAAATTAAATGTTAAATTAGATCAAGAGGAGGTAATAATTGTATAGCTTGTTATATTTCCAGCTATATATACCAGTTTTTCTTTAATGAGAAATTAGTCAAATTTTATCATTCGAGTGGCTGGAAGTGGTTTGGACAGATTCCGGCATTAACTCGTAAGTCAAGACCATCCTGAAAAAACCAAACGGTAAAACAGTCTCACTCACTAATGCCAGGGAAAAAGTTAGTCTCTGTCCCTCAGGTGCAAAGACAAAAAGAAAAGGAAGAATATTGAAGAGAAAAAGAAGTCAGGCCAAAAGGGGGGGAAAAAAACAAGAAGAGAAAAGAAGAGGGAGAAGTTATCATAAAAGAAAATAAAATCTAACAATAGGATCGAAACTATATTATTAGAGAAAATAAGAGGAAAAAATCCAATATTTTTCAACAGCTTTCCTTGGGACAATTTCTTGGACATGGCTTGTGGAACTTAATGTATACTATCTCGAGGAAATCACCAGCGTATATTGGAAATCCTAGTTCAAATGTAAATGAGATAGTGCTACGCTCTTTTTCTATGTTAGCTTTTGCTAATTCAAGATCTCTTGTCAAGCATTCTTCTCAGCATCTTAGATAGGTGGAGCGTCATCAAGCATAAATTCAAAAAGGCCCAAGAAACATGTTTTTGTCTTTATCTTATTTGCTGGCAAGGCTCTCCACTAATGGAATTTCATTGGAATGCGTTTCAAAGCCTGGACATCCTTTCTTATCTAGCCATCTGAGAGTTTTTTTGCTTTGGGTATCAACTTCAGCCATTTGCAGTTCAAGATCACATCCTACCCTGACCATTATTTGTGACCACACTATTCATCAACATTGCGGCTGCAAAATCATCTTATTTCCTCACTGACTTGCCAGGAAATTCTTGCATTACTTCATGATTTTTATGTTAATCGTATTTTTCTTCTTTCTTTTGAAGACTTCTCTGGGTTCTTAGATTCTCACTTTTTTTCCTAGCTGCTTTTGTAGTCAGTACAACCTCCTTTATTTTTATTTTTATTTCATTTTGCCTTCTTTTAAAAAAGGGAGAAATGCATTAAAATTAGAACATGACCATGACAAGACATATTCTCGTTGGGTAAAGAAAAAGAAGAAGAAAGGGAGGAGCCTGGTCTTCGCTTTTTGGTTTTGCAAGAGTTGTCGTCCAAAACACCGCCCTCTGGAAGCCATCTCCCTGTTGGATTTTTGAGCAACACCCAATGCAGCACCATCAAAAATTTTAAACAAATGACTGCACTTCTTGTCTATTTTAAACCAAAAGGACAATTAATATATTTTACGTATTTAATTATTGTCTTATTAGTTTGACCACTATCTAATTATTTCAACCATAATCTATTGGTCTCTTTAGTTCGAGGTTCGGCCAACTTTTGAAACATTACTCATTACTGTGAGCCCTCCATCTCAGGCTTCTTTACTAATTGCTCCAGCCCTTTTAATAAGCTTCAAAATAATTAAATTACGCAAAGAAAAAGGTAGGTTAAAAATGATTAAAAATAATAAATATGTGAGAAAAAATGCAACTTATTTTCTCAAAACATCCTTATTTATAGAGGGTGTGAGTAAGAGAAAATGAGTAAAATAATATGAGAAAAAATACAGATGAAAGAAATATATAATTAATTAGAGATAAAACAAACACCCCCCCCAATGCTTAATGGAGAAACCAAACTTAGTATAGCAAGAAATCCCGCCTAGCAATAATTCATCTCAGTTTCTATTCAGAGTCTAGACATAATAACACCAAATGATAACGTCAGTGAGTAATTTCCAATAATAAATACGATGAATGTTGGCAATTCCTCGTTTTATTAACAATAATAAATACGATGAAAAGTAGCAGGCAGACTAGTGGTATCATGAACACGTGCAGCCAACATTCCTCATAATATTAACATTAATAAATACAAGAACAATCAATGCCCCTAATCTAATTGTATAATGCATCATTACAAAATAAACCAACCAAATTCGGACCCATCCGTTCGCCTCAAGACTGCCAATCTCAACGCTTTCTTTTGTTCAGCAGATTTCTGCTTCCAGGGTGAAACCAGCTTACACTCATTTGAATTACATTGCTCAAGAGAATCTTACTTCTGGAAGAAAAAAAAAAAGATTGTTGAAATCAACGAACAAACCAATTTGCACGCTGAACCTACAAAATCTACCTACAAATTATATTTTGAGGCAAACTTGGTCATTAACCCATTTTTTCTTTTTATTAAGATTTAGTAATTTCCTTACGTAGATATATGAAATCTTTAAGAAGTGTCCATCAGTGTTGTTATATATTACATAGGTCAATTGTAGCGTGGTGTAAACAACAAAAACATTTTTTTGCAATACATAGGTATCCAGTTGGACTGTTAGACACCAAATGTAGACATATGTTATAAGTCCCACACTAGGGAATCTCTCAATAAAAGCATCAATGTGGCGAGTACAAACCTAAAGGAAAAGTTCAATCCTAAAAAATTAGTCTATTAGAAGGGAGAGTCCATTAAAATTATAAACCTTATAACATTTATCAGATCTCCTAACGTAGGACTCATAACTGTTCAAAACAGGGTCAGCTATATTACATGGATCGGAACAAGGATTTTGCTCAGCCCATTCCACCAATTTCGATGAGGTAGTGGGCCGACCCGAACAGACCCAACCTAAATGTCCATTCTTAGTTACTGTACATCAGCCATCGATCTGATGACCCAGGAACAAAGGAAGGTTATAACCCCCTTCCTTCAATTAAGGGGGAAATAAATATTTACCCATGCAGATATATTGTTCCGCACAATCAGTCCAACCCAACCCTATGCAATAATCATGAATTATATGGCATTATAATTGAAGGAGATACTCATAGCGGTGCTGGCCTGGTTCTTAGAACCTGAGCAGTCATCGAAGAAGGAGACAAAGAGGTATGGATAATTTTTGTGCAAAGTACTAATCTCAAAGCATAAAATAAGATTAAATTAAATGCGGAACCCCAAAATCTTTCCGAAATGTGCTCCCACATTACAACCCCGCGAGAGCCAGACCCCAGCTGCACAGCCACCCATTTCCACACTATCAGTGCGACCTTCACCTTCCACGAGGTGCTTACCTTTATCAAGGTAGCACTTGCAGCCCCCTTCTTCTGAAATAATCATGGATTACTACCTTTTATCCTTAATACTCCTCCGGTCCTTATTATAAGACCCAATTTGACTTTTTATTTGGTCCTAATTATAAGACCCCAATCCATTTTATCTCTTATATTTATACATTTTTTTCAAGATAATCCTTCTAATAATGATAGTTTTAGCCAATATACTTAATTAGCAAGGATATTTTAGGAATGACAACACTTATTTATTATAACTAACCAACTTAATTAACTTACTTCCTTAATCTCCTCAAATAAGTCAATTGGGTCTTATAATTAGGATCGGAGGAGTATAAGATCTATTTGACTAATTTAAAGAGATTTAAAAAATTAGTTAAATTAGTTATTTGTAGTAAATTGATGTTGTCTTCCCCTGAAATACTGTTATTAATTATGTATGTTTAAATCATCTATTCATGCTAACTATTTGACATATGCAACTATTATAGGAATTATTTTAGGACAAAATAGATAAATACTGGAAACAAACTAGATTGGAGTTTTATATTTAGAAACAAATTAAAAGTTAAACTAACTCTTATAATAACATTTGGAGATAGTATATAGCACTATACTTGAAGGAGATACCAAGAGTGGTGCTGGTCTTTAAAATGATCCAAAAGAAGGAAAGGGAAGGTTATGGTCATTTTTATGTAAAATACCGATTGTAAAAGTGAAATTAAGTAACACAAATAAGAGGGAAAAGTAGAGATATTTTCTGGTCTTTCTCTCTCTTGTGAAATAGATCCTGCAACAAAAACCTCATGCT